ATGCACAAATGTATCGTATGCGTCTAGTGCTAAAAGAACGTTCAGCAAAATCATTCTTTTGAAATACAGGGCAAACAGTTAACCCATTACACATTATTTGTATATTTCGGTCAAATAGTTTCCAAGAGTGCTCCCTACAATAACCCCCACGACTGAAAATATACTTGTCAGATCCACAAAATAAACATTTTTTTCGATGAACTAATGATTTTTCAATACTAACTTCACTCTTTTGAAAAGTATGCAATTGTTTATTGTCATAATTAAAATGACTAGCACAAATCCCTAATGAACTTAAGTTATCTTTTTTTGACACCATTACAATTTGGTTTACGGTTTCAAAGTCTAACTCCCAGACTCCTCCAAGTTGCCTTAATGGTTTAGATACGGGTTCCGAACATTGTTGCAATTTTCCATTTGAATTATCAATTATAACACATGTACTATTAACATATTTAACCTTTACAGAATTAAGCTCAATGTCAAATTCGCTTTCTTGATGATCAACCCCTTCCCATAAAGAGTCGCTATCAATTGTTGCATTGAGTTCTGGAGATAACCAATTTACATCAACTTCCTCATATTGTTCTTGTATTATTTGAGATGCTGAATTAGCATACGCTTTGGCTACCTCTACAGCCGTTTTGTCAAAATGAAGATTACATAAATTATTCTGTATTTTATTATCTACATTATTTAAACTATGTACAGATGATAAAGACGACGTGGTTGGTTGTTCGAGACTTTCAGAGTTGTCTCCAATACTGAAATCATCCAAAATTTCAAAATCCTTATCAGGATCGTTACAAAAAACCTCTTCATCAATATTTCCACCATTTAAAATCAGGTCGTTCATATTTAAAATTAAATAACAGGATTTTTTTTTTTTAAAGAAAAAAAAGTTAAATATTGTGGCTAAAATAAACACAAAAAAACTAACGCAAAAATGACATAAAAACAAAGCTTAATAAGCTTAATGTGATTACTAAAATAAAAGCGAAAAGAAGTTTAATACTATCGCTATGACGGAAATGCAAAAAAAAAGAAAAAAACCCCCCGCAAAAAAGAAATGACAATGAAAAAAACAAAGCTTATTCTATCAAATATAAAATATTTGACCATTCAAATTATTCATTCATATTATTATAGCTCTCAAAACAAACAGAGCCCCGCAACACTATATGACAATGCTTTCTGTGTAAGAAAGAAAATATAGAAAGTGTTAGTGACAAACTTTGTGAAACGTTATTACGATTGCTCCACTTTAATTCGAGATTCTTTAAAAGCCAACTATTTTACAAACCATAACTTAGTCAAATAGTCAAATAAAGAACTAAAGCTTACATTTTCAATAAATGCAGTAGAAATGTTCTAACGAAAGAAAAAAGTAAATTCCACTTGAAGAGGAAAAAAACGTCGTTGCTCATATAAAATTTATCTTAAGGTACAAAAAAATTTTATATCAGAGTCCCCCCTGCAGCGTGACATATCCCCTGACCACTAGAAGAACAAGTACCCCAGTGATTATCATGTCACGTGGAATCGTGCAATTATATCTTTTAGTTTACTAGTACTAAACAAACCACCTAAAACATACTATCACCTGCCCCAACACTAATCCTAACTTAGACCGAGTGCTTAATCATGTAATGTGATGACTAGAGATGGGTCTGGTTACGGTTATAACCGTTTAGCCGCGGTTATTGACCGAAAAATTTGCCGAATGATTTTTCGACCGATTCGATTAAGTCATTGATTTCGGCAATGATCGGTGCATATTTTTACATGCAAAATAATTTTATCATTATAAGGTAGATGTGCGATGCTGTCGCACTAAAATCAGGAACGTAGACAATGATATTTATAATTATATATGCTAATTCTTACATTATATCATAAAGCTTTTGATTAGATTTAACATTAGGCCATTCAAACTTAATAAATCGGTTCTCATAACATAAAATTTTTGAAACTGACCCGGCAACCCGGCTTTTAATTTTATTTTCAAAAAATTTTATATATAAAAAACATATAAAATTTTTTTACAAATTTTTTAGAAAACCCACCCGGATAGTAAATATACTTAAAATTTTTTTTTAAAGTTTTGTAAAATTTGACCCGGCCGAGTTATGAGAACCGATTTATTAAGTTTGTATGGCCTTACGACTTAATCTTGAAAATTTATTCATTTATTTTGTTAAAATATGGAGAGTTTCGCATTGTGATTTCATCAACTTAGTTTGTAAATCGTGTAGAGCAATTTTAGAAAATATGTAGATCGCTAAATCGATACGTATGAATAAATTGAACCTAAATTAAAGGTTTAACAGTATTGTAACTAAAAATTGCATATATAGATAGATGGTCTGCAATCCCGTTCCAACTAATAATTAGATATGATTAGTGTAATACCAATTATTGATAATAAAATATTCGGATTAAATATAAAATGGAAACTTTATACATTTTTAAGTAAAACTTAACACATTAAAAGTTAAGAAAATGATCTATGTTACAAACACAAAATTTAGAATTTGTTAATATATGACTACGCCTAGTGTTCCAAATCGAAAATCGATTAATCGATTAGTTGATTGATTAATCGATTAATCGATTGATAATTTTATTA